CAGGCGGGTCTCGAACCCGTGGGCTCAGGCAATCCACTCACCTCAGCCTCCTAAAGGCGCGGGATTACAGGCTGAGCCACCGAGCCCGGCTGGGCCTTCCTATTTAATGTAGCTCTCGCTCTTCTCACTCTGTATCTCTTCACCCATTTTAAAGTCCTTCTTTTCTCTCTCTCTCTTTTTTTTTTGAGTTGGAACCTCACTCTGTCACCCAGACTGGAGTGATATGGCACATTCATGGCCACCACAGCCTCTACCTGCTGGACTCAGGCAATTCTTCCACCTCAGCCTTCCAAGTTGCTGGAACTACAGGGGTGAGCCACCATGCCCGGCTAATTTTTCTTAGTTTATTGTAGAGATGAGCTCTCATTAAGTTGCCTAGGCTGGTCTCGAATTCCTGGGCTCAGACAATCCTCTCGCCTCCACCTCCCAAAGTACTGGGATTACAGTCGTGAGCCATGGAGCCTGGCCCTATTATTGTTATTTTTTAAAATTTAATTTCAGTTATTCTAAAGTTGTGGGGTACAGGTCAGGATTGTGTACATAAGTGGTTTTAGGTGCAGGTGATCTCCCATTGGGCCTCACTTTGCTTGGATTAGGGTCAGACACCTTCACTGACGTTATGTGCCCACTCCCATCCCTCCTCTGGCAGTGTCCTGCTACTGTCAATTCCTTTTTTTGGAGATTTTTTTTTTGTTTTTTTTGAATTGGAGCCTCACTCTGTTGTCCAGGCTGGAGTGCAGTGGGATGCTCACAGCCACCGCAGCCTCGCCTGCTGGGCTCAGGCAATTGTTCCGCCTCAGCCTTCCAAGGAGCTGGAACTACAGGCATGCGCCGCTACCTTCAGCTAATTTTTTTTTTTTGGATTTATCGTAGAGACGAGGTCTTGCCATGTTGCCCAGGCTGGTCTCAAACTCGTGGGCTCAGGCAATCCTCTCAGCTTGGTTTCCCAAAGTGTTGGGATTACAGGTGTGAGCCAGTGTGCCCAGTTCCTTTTTTGTAGTGTTATGATAGATGTTCAGGATCCACTTATGAGTGAAGGATTTGAGAATTATATTGGAGGCATTAATTAATTTAATGGGGTGGGCTTGGAAGAGGGAGGAATCCAGAATGACTCTGAGGTAAAATTCAGTTGAGTGGATGGTGGTACCAAGTTCTATAGTGGTGAAAACAGTAGGAGGACTGAATGAATTTGGGTGGTCAAATGAAGGAAATGAGCCGGGCTCAGTGGCTCAACCTGTAATCCCAGTGCTTTGGGAGGCTGAGGTGAGTGGATTGCCTGAGCTCGCGGGTTCGAGATTCGCCTGGGCAATTTGGCGAGACCTCATCTCTACAATAAATAAAAAATTAGGCGGGCATGGTAGTGCGCGCCTGTAGTTCCAGCTACTTGGAAGGCTGAGGCGGATGGCCCGCCAGAGCCCAGCAGGTCGAGGCTGCGGTGGCCGGGAGCGGCCACTGCACTCCAGTTTGAG